ACCGACGCTCTTCGGAAGGAACTTGTCGCTACTCGCATCAGGGTTATTGAAATTGATCCCGGCCAAGTTGAAACTGTAAGGATCTAACTACTTACTTTTGGTGATTTAAGATAAGATGATTTGGACCACGATATAGGCTAACGCAGGAGCGGCGGCGTTTGCAGGAATTTTCCGTGGTGCGATTTTATGGAGACAAAGCCAAGGCGGATGCTGTTTATGCGTAAGTCTCCAGTCCCTCTCTGATGAGCTGCGTCGAGTTTCGTGACACTGACTGTTGTTGAATGTGTGTGATGTCTAGTGGCTGTGATCCTCTCACGGCAGAGGACATCGCGGAGGTAATCGTATTCACCGCTGGGCGGCCGGAGAACGTCGTTATCGCGGATACGTTGATCTATCCACAACATCAAGTGAGTTCTTTCTTTCTTTCTTTTTTACTCTTATCCATTTTCGATCCATTTTTCAAATCAAAAAGGAGCCCCCAACCGAGCAAATCTTGTCTTCCGTTTCCGTTCCTTTCCCCCCTTCTCCCTTTCCCCCGTTCTGGAGTCAAACGTGAGTTTTTCTAACACGCGCGCGTCCTCTTAGGGGTCGCCAACGACTCTATATAGGAGGTCATAAGCCCAGGCAGCAGACAGGCAGAAGGTCAGAGGGCGAGAAAAGAGATGAATCCGAGGACACGGAGACGACTTGACCATGTAGATATGTATATAGAAGAACGTGTCTTGTCCATTGTCTTCCGGACTATAGTTACTGTCTATCAAACCCCCTTTTTTTTCAGTTCTTTGCTACTCCTGCCAAGCTGCCCGCTTAGCTTAGCTCCTACACTAGATGGGTAGATGTACCTTGCATTGTCCGGCCGATGTAGAAGTCCCATCGAGGGCAAAAGTGATAGTCTCTCAAGGTGAAAAGAGGTAAAATAAGAAAGAAGAGGAAGAAAAAGAGAGGGGGAAAAGAAAAAAAACAAAAAAGACAAACAAAAGCACTTTCTACACGTGAATGAAATGACAGGGCAGGGCATCCATCATGGCTTTTTTTTTTTTTTTTTTTTTTTTTTTTTTTTTTTTGGGCTGAACATCACACGCGAGAGATCCACGCTGGCAAAGGGGGGCAATAATGACTTGAGTGGTGTGAGGCCGCTGTGGACTTGGACTGTTCCTTAGCTAGATGAGAAACGTAGGACACTACTGTGACATAACAGAATCAAGATGCAATATCAATCTCGACCGTCCGGAGCCCACGGCCAGGATGAGATGGACGAGTATGCTACTCCAGATAAGAGACGGATCCTTCGGCCAGAGACTGCTGGTCAGTCTTGCTCGTGCCAGCGTAGAGCCATCGGAAGTCGTCGAGCGTGATCTACTTGCATGAATGGGCAATAACCCGACGAACACGGATGCAACACATGTACTCTCTGTAAGCATGCTGGGGATAACAATTATAATAGAAGGCAGCAAAGAGATGCTGTGGTGAGTAACTCTGGACCTACATCCGAAACTCCCAGGGCCAGGGATTAGATCCGCTGGCATGACAAGGCCTGGTCGTTGCAAAAAGGAAGAAGAAGAAGAAGAAGCATGAGGAAGGAATAGAATGATATATCGGCCCAGCGAGCCGACGGGCAGGGCTAGGAAGGGTAACCTTGCTGTATAAGTATGAACATGCTCCGTAAGTAGCTAAGTGTCCCCTCTACCGAGATGAGAGGTGGGCGTGGGAGTGGGAGGGAAGGGAAGGTCAAGGGCTGCATGATTTTGGGCCTGGCAGGTCGAAAGCAAGGGAGAGCTGGTGGCGTGTGAAACCCTGACAGGGCTGACCGGTGAAGTCACAGAGAAGCGTATATTCAGTAGTACCTGTACCTGTGGCCGTGTACCTGACCGCCGGGTGGTGTCGAGCGTAACTCGAGCAGCAGCGTAGTAGCAGGACAACGGAGCCCGACTCCACCAAGGTCGTTTTCAGTGGCCATTTCGCAGTTGTCGGCCTTTTTTGTGAGAAAGCATGTGTAAAAACGGGCAAATGCACTCCAGTCTCCAGCCCGGTTCGGGTCTCTGGGCAGTCTCCATGCTTTCCAGAGTTCTAAGTCTCATGCAGGAACTAGATAACGCACGCACGCAGCGAAGTCTCAGGTCAGCCAGTCGCAGGACGGATACTCCACCGTCTCGAGACGCCATCAGCGAATAGAGGCCTGCCTGTGACCGCCCGGAGCTCGCAGGACAGACCAAGTGGCTGTTATTTTTGGCTCCTGCTGGCTGGCTTGCTTGCTACCCAGGCAACCAACCGACTGTCTGCACCTGCGCCGTGTGATATGTAGCTTTCCCCGGGGGAGGCTTATCACACCTTAGGTACATACTCCGTACTGCAGAGTCAGGAAGTACATCAGTAGGTACATTACTCCGTAGCTTGGGCGAGCCTAGCTTGTTGACGGGTGGATGCTCGCAATCTCCGGCGTCAAGCCAGGCCAATCCCTTTTTTCCCAAGGCAAAAGGCGTTAAGTATCAAAAAGTAAAGCCTGGGATGGGACTTGAGGATGGGGAACAGGGCCCCTTTTTTTCTCCCTTCTCTTCCAGCTTCTGCAACTCCACTGGCTGTCTAGACGGAGAACTCTGGACGGAGAACGTGCCAACGGGGAGTCTCTGAGAAGTATCAGTGCAGTGTAGAGTAGAGTAGCAGTTGACTGAGCCGGAGGCTGGCGGGCGGTGGAAGGATGATGCCTGCTGGGGATCTGCGGTGCCTGCGGTGCTGTGAGTACGGAGTAGCATGTCCTGTATATACGGGCAGGAAGACGCCTCAACGCGCCGTCGTCTGGCTCGCTGAGACGCCCGCGGCCCTGCTGCAGGGTTCTGCCTGGCAGACGACGCTGCTCGAGGCCGTCCATCTGCCTGCTGATGCTTGTTGCTGCCTGTCTTGTTGCTGCCGGCGGTTTGTTCGTGGATGCCGCCGTCGCCTGCATGGTCACTCGCGCGCAGGAGACCAGCAGAAGCGACGACGGGGAGGCCTTCCTGCAGGCCATCCAAGTAGCCAGCAGACCTGCATCTCCGTCTCTCTGTCTCTGTCACTCCTGTCGACTGGTGTTGTCGTCTCTTATGTGGTCTGGCCGTGTAGTAGTAGAAATAATAATCAACAACTAAGATAGCGGTCCCTTTTTTTTCCTTTTTTTGCTTTTTCTTTGCTTCTTTTTTTCCCTTTTTTTATTCCCTTTTTTTTTCCTCTTCCTTTTCCCTCTTCGTCTTTTCTGATAGCAAAAAAGGGCGAGCGTTAACGTCGAGTTCGAGAGCAGCAAAGAAGAAGAAGAAGAAGCCAGCGTCTGAGCAGAAGCGCCGCATCTCTCTTACATCTTCTTTACTTCTACTTATCATCTTCTTCTACTCCTCTACTACTTCTTCGCTTGTCGCCTCCTAGAAAAGGAGTCAAGAAGCTGTCCTTTTGCTTTTTCCTCCTCGCCGTCTCTTCTCAACTGCTGCAACCACCGACTTGACTCTGCGATCTCTCGCTTCTTCTTTCTTTTTGGCCCTTCTTCTGACTTGACGTCCTTCTATATCTCTTCTCTTCGTCTCTTCTCTTTTTTCGACCTGTCGAGAATCCGTCTAGAAAAGAGGGAGCCTCCAGCGTTGTCGTTCTCCGTCCTCGCCGTCTGCTCAGAGCCCCCCTTACGCTGCGTCGTCGTCGTCGTCGTCGTTCTTCTTTTTCTTCTTCTTCTCCGGTTGCTACGACTACTCTTAACACATCATGGCCTCACGAGTAAGCCGGCTCTTCTTCTACTCGTCTACTCCTGCTAACGTCTGCAGTATCTCCGAGAATACAAGCTGGTCGTCGTTGGCGGCGGTGGTGTCGGCAAATCCTGTCTCACCATCCAATTGATCCAGAGCCATTTCGTCGACGAATATGACCCTACAATTGAAGGTGCCTTTCCCTTCCTCCTCTCTTCTTCTTCTTCTTCGTCTTCATCGTCTTCGTCTTCCCCTTGTCTCGTACATATAATAACTCATCCGTCACAGACTCATACAGAAAGCAATGCGTCATCGACGACGAGGTCGCCCTGCTAGACGTGCTCGATACCGCCGGCCAGGAGGAGTACTCCGCCATGAGAGAACAGTACATGCGAACCGGCGAGGGCTTCCTGCTCGTCTACTCCATCACCTCCCGGCAGTCGTTTGAGGAAATCATCACCTTCCAGCAGCAGATACTCCGAGTTAAGGACAAGGACTACTTCCCCATCATCCTCGTAGGCAACAAGTGCGATTTGGAAAAGGAGCGAGAAGTCTCACAAGAGGGTGCGTCTCTTCTCTTCCTCTTCCTTTTCTTCTACGGACATCACCTAACTAACTCTCGACAGATGGTGAAAAACTAGCACGGAGCTTTGGATGCAAGTTCATCGAGACATCAGCCAAGTCACGTATCAACGTCGACAACGCCTTTTACGATATCGTTCGAGAAATCCGCCGATACAACAAAGAAATGTCATCCTACTCATCTGGCGGCGGTGGATTCGGATCCCGAGGCCCAGAAGGCAAGATGGACGTCGACGACCAGGGCGATCAAGCCGGCTGCTGCGCCAAGTGCATTATCATGTAAACGGAATGAAAACAAGATAATAACAAAAAAAAAAAAAAAAAAAAAAGAAAAAAGAGAGAAAAAAAAGAAAGAAAGAGAGAGAGAGAGAGAGGGAGGGAGGTTGGGGAGGGAAAATATTCCATGGAAAATCCGAGAGACAGGCGGGCAGGCAAAACAGACGACAGACAGAACGGGCAGAGAAGCGAAAGATATTAAACATAACGGAGAATGGGAGGTTCGGCCAAGGGAAAAAGAGAGGTAAAAAAGGGTCAATCCGACTGGTAAGAGAAACGAAGTGACGCGCAAAACACAGGTAGAGGATTCTTTCCAGGGGTGTACGATTTTCAAAAAAAGGAAAAGCAAGCCATTTAAAACCAAATTATCTTCAATTGTCAGCATTTACAGTCAAGAGCAGGGGAATCGGATCCAATGCCTGAGAGCAGTCAAAAAAGGCGAAACCCAGCAACAGCCGAATCTCACTCGACCATGCTGTCTTTCGAACGAGTCGCTCATATAACCAGCCTCCGCGACCCCCCCTCCTCTCAACGTCCGCCGCAAGGACAACCGAGAAAAAGGCACAACGAATACGTCCGTCTCTCTCGAAGAAAACAGTCTCTACCTTCTCGACCGGTCCAGGATTGCACAGTTGATTGACCATTTTGATGATATTTTCTTCATATTTTTTTTTTTGTTCTATCTGGAATTTCATGGATATAATCTTCCTTTTTCTATTCCCCCTTTGCCTTTGCACTTTGGGTTTATTTCCCCCCCCCCCCCCCATATT